CATAAAGCAAGTTCAAATGAGAACGATAAGAATTGCCGCAAGTAAACTCCTCTAATCTAAACCAGGACTAAATAGCTGGACAAGTTTTATCTCCCATAATCTATTCCATATAAAGGTTCAGAAGAATTTGAGAATTAATTATGAGGTTGAAGGGAGAAACACATCATGATTGACATGTGATGTTAGCTTATTTTATTGTAAAAGAATAAAGGGCTAAGCAGAATGCTCGCGTTGAGCCATCCGTTGCGTTATGTGTTATCGAAAATAGTCCGCTTTTCCACAGGCAGATTTTTATTTGGCAAATTTTTTGTTTTCTCTTTTGAAATTTTCGCTTGCTTTTCCATTAGCAAATTTTTCTTTGCCAAATTTTGCGAATCAAAATACAAAAGAAAGAAAAAAAACGTCAAAAGTGTATGCATTTTAAAGATTTTTTTAACATTTTATATATTTTATTATATAAATTGCAAAAATTAAATTTCACTTGCACAAATTAAAGCAACAGGTTTGTAAACAAAAGCCGCCTATGTGTCAGTAAAGCGAATAGGTTCAAAAGGAAATGTCAACAAAATTGTTTTCAACGAACAGAGCAAAGCAGAATTTGCGTGTACGGCAAATTCAGAACAGGCAATTTTTGTTTTTCTTCCTCGCACCCCTCTCGCCTACAAACTTAGTATTTGCCAAATAAAAATTTGCCTGTGTAAAAGCAGACATACAACAACCACAAGGAAACGATAACACAAACGCTCGAAGTTGATGTGCGCTTCGGAGTTAAATATATTTTAACTTTTTGCGTGCGTTAACGCGATAACAAAAAACGCCCAAAGCGAACATTCTGTTTAGCCCTTAAAGGTGAAAAGCTGGTTGGAAAATGTATTTGTATTGGAAATTTCTTAAAAAATAATTCTGGCTATCAATTGTTCATTCCCCTAGCAAGAGCATAAATCCTCTCTCTACTGGTATTTACCGTTACTACATGGATTTTAATAAGTAAACCTGTACAAAAATTTGAAAATACAGATTAAATTAAATGAACTCTCTAAACACTACCGATAAGTCCAATGATGTTAATCTAAAAATCTCTTAACGTAAAAAGAGAATAAAACAAATGTATTGACACATATTCAGGTGAATCATGAACCTCATTGAAACATATGAACTTTCACTCTTGCTGTCTGTACGAAATTAATGAAAACAAGTTTTAGTTATAGAGATGCTACTTTTACTTTGTCTACAAAATTAAAGTTTTAAGTTCAGAAGGTGTTTCTTTGTTAGTGATGCAGAAAAGTTTTTTTACATTAATTTTATACTAGGGTGTACCGTCAAAAATGTGGTTTCCAACATAATTTTATAGTGAATTGAAAAATAACATAAAAATGCATGTTTTATGTAATGGTTCTGTTATATTAGAGGGGTACTCTTAAAAGTAGAATAAGAAATCAAATATACCCTCCAAAAATCTAGTTTGCAATATATAATATGTATCTTTAATTAATAAATTAGGGCTGTTGCGACATTTATGCCCCAAAAACGGCACAATTTTGTGTCATTTACCATACAAAAATAAATGATGGATTCAACGTAAACAACGCACGAAAATACCACACTATGCTATGCAATCCTGTACTAAAAATTGCAACTATTGCAACAAATATTAAATGCGTCGCTCGGCGTACATAGATTTTCTCCACTTTTTGAAATATATTAAATTTAAGTATCAATGTTCTTGGTATAGTCATATGTATCTATAATATATTTTCTGAATAATAATGATTGTCGCCGTTAAGGGAGAAACACTTAAGAGGACTTCAGACTAGGCCAGTTAAGTTGGCTAATTTTATTGTAAAAGAATAAAAGAGAACGGCGTCCAATATAAAGTTTGACTCTGATATGCCTTTATAAATTGACATTTCATGAATAGGCCACTCCTGAATCCTTGTATGTGTTTCCCCCTTCATGCATTCGTCTGTCCACGTACTGCAAGACATCGAAGAAGTTTTACTATTTTACAAAAATAAATATTGATCAAGGTTTTAAAAATATCGATGACAGTGATGACAAATTATAAAAATAGATGACAGATAGAGGACATAAATATATTTATAGATGACAGCCAGTTAAAATCGATCAGGGGTGGGCATAATAAAATTGAGAGTAAGCGGGGTTTTACACTTATCGGAATTGGGATTGGTGTTGAGAGTTTCTCTCTCTTGAGATTGTAATTAGAATTGCGTTGTTTTTAATTTTGTAACAAGCGTACTTTTTGTTCACAAAAGGTACAAATTGACATAAACGTATCAAAACAAAAAGTAAATTTTTTTTTATTCGTGAAAATTATAACATATATTATTTATGCAAATAACTGGTATAAATATTGGCCAATATTTCTCGATAATTATGATTTATTATCATTTGAAGTAGAATTTTAGGTACATTTTCGCACTTTTTTGTTCCTACCTGTGATAATGTTTTCCAACTCAATTCACAAACTCTCAACACCAATCCTGATAAGTGTAAAACACCGCTAAAGTGGCCCACACACGTCAAACATGTGCGTTCGATCGGTGTGAATCGAAGCAATGTTTGACGTGTGTGGTACGGTGTTCACAATTATTAATTAATTTTTGTCAAGAACTATTCTTTGAATAATAATTAATGAATTTGTGTATTCTTGGGTTATTGGAGGTTTTAGGTCAGTGAAAAATAAAGTTTAAGCCGTGGTCGCGATTAATTTTAAGTTTCCCACATGTAGCCCATGGCTCCTTTTGATGTTGTTTATATTGTGAATTACAATCTATTTTTTCTATGGAGTGGCTTCAAACCTTGCCTTCTTAAAGAAAATTGAAGGACATAAATCCCCGGCCAAAGACTAAATCATGGAAATTGTGCTGACCGTATAAAATCTTTCCATAGACGTATTTAACCTCCGCCGAGAATTGTGGCAAGCACCAAGGGGACGATTCCCATATAGGCTAACATAATTTGTTCGATTTTATGAGTAGCTGGGATTTCTGGACAGATTTCCACACATAACATAATATATGTGGACCAATCGGTGAATGGGGTTATAACTGAGCCTATGTTTCCTCTCCGTCCGCCTCTATGAATGTAGTTTTCTTGATTGTTTATTATTAACAAAGCCTAAATTGGAAGACAATTGTTGAAATCGAAATGTAATATTGAAAATGTTTTTGACAATTTGCCAAAGACTAAATCGTGGAAATTGTGCTGACCGTATAAAATCTTTCCATAGACGTATTTAAACTCCGCCGAGAATTGTGGCAAGCACCAAGGGGACGATTCCCATATAGGCTAACATAATTTGTTCGATTTTATGAGTAGCTGGGATTTCTGGACAGATTTCCACACATAACATAATATATGTGGACCAATCGGTGAACGGGGTTATAACTGAGCCTATGTTTCCTCTCCGTCCGCCTCTATGAATGTAGTTTTCTTGAATGTTTATTATTAAAAAAAGCCTAAATTTGAAGACAATTGTTGAAATCGAAATGTAATATTGAAAATGTTTTTGACAATTTGCTTTACAAACAAAGTTTGAAACCATATGAGTGCCACTTACACCTTATTAAATACATCTTGTGTGCAAGCATGGCGACTGGTGCCCTTGTTTACATGTATACGAACTTAGCGGGGTTTTACACTTATTGGGATTGGTGTTGGGAGAAAAAAAGACTCTCATGACCAATACCAATCACCAACAGTGTAAAACCCCGTTAACCATTTCATATGGCGGTTTCTCATTTACTCTCCGAGAATTTTCTCTTTTCACACCCCTAAATGTAAAGTAGACGTGTGCAGATGCTCGTAGAGTAAATTAAAATCCGTCATATGAAATTAAATACAAAAAGAGAACAATCTTATTGGTACATGTGAAGAAGACACCATTTCCCATGTATGCCCAGCTCTAATGTAAATTACCAATTTTGACATACATGAATAATGTCGTATGTACTGAAAAACTGACAGCACCAAACTTAAAATTTCCTTTATGACATCGATAATAATAGTAGTACTAGACATAATAGTAGAAACCAGTAGACATGGCCATGTTAGTAGACATTTGCAGTACGGGAACAGACCGCATCAGCAATCGATTATCGATAACGACAAACAACTGTTGTAGAACAATGATTCGTCAACAATATTTTCAGAACAAAAAAAAAAACTAAAAAAATGTATAAAATTTTGTACACAAATTAATGGAGAAAATAATAGTACATTTACTGACAAGAAAAATTAGGATTTGTTCATTTATATATTTTTTTTTTGATTTAATTGTATCAACAGCTGTGCTGATGCAACTACCTTATTAAATCTGCCTTGTGTCAAATGAAATTCTATACGTCGATTTTTGTTTTGTGCAAATAGTCGATTAGTCGAAAGACGGTTTTTGTACTACTAGAGTAGTTTTTAATAATAATAATAATATAAAAAGAAAACAAAATATTAATTAAAACAAACTACTAATTTATATTTACGCTCGACAACATAGACAACAGATGTGACGAATACCTATCGTATACCATTTATGAAATGTTAAGTAAATGAAACAGCAAATTGAAAACAATCATTTTCCATCGGAAATATACAGGGTATGTCGGTAGTGTTACAACATATTCCATTAAATATAGTATGCACAATATGTAGGTGCAAATAAACAATACTATGTATCCGACTATATTTTGATTTTTGCACATATCCGCACGGCTGCCGGCCAGTTTCTGTAAATAGCAGTATATGCTCAGTGGGTGTTGGGGGTATGATGGTTACACACATCCACAACACACAAACATATTTATTTCATACAAGAAAATTGATTGATTTCCCATACTTATACACTTCAAATGACAACATCAAATCGCATTTCAATGACCACTTAATATTCATTGATTGTTGGGTGTTCTGCCTAATATCCTTGTGCTACAAACGGACATCATTGAGAACATTATAAGAGGAACATCGATAAAACTAAAACCAAGAACGTTTTTGCATTATCCTTTTCATATTCAGTCACTTTGATTTGTTTGGTGTGTCAAGACTAATTTTTATTTGGTTTTAATTTTTCAGGTCCATTTTAATAATAACCTTCCAAGTCATACGCATTTTGCGGAATCACCAACACAAATGCCAGAGATACCAGACCAAATAACACCTCAAGATCGTAAGTATTTAAAATATATTGATTAAGAATATGTATTGATTAAGAATATGTATTGATTAAGAATAAGTATTGATTAAGAACAGGAAGATATCATATTTGTTCCAATTGTTAAGACGGCTCATTTAATAGTCCCTTTGGAAGTTGTGGAGAATTTGTACATTTTTATGTAAAGTGTACGAAAAATGGTGCAACAAAGATCCAATTTTCTTATACAATTTTTGGTCCGATCAAATCAATTTCTATGTCGATTTATGCGTGTCTGTCCGTCTGTGTTGAAATGATGATAAAGATCACAATTCTTAAAATAGAGCTGTAAAAATTTGCACAAACATTGCTAGGATTTTCGGTGATGCAAATGGGATATATCGCTCTACCTTTTTCTGTAGCCGCAATATAACGGTACCCACCAATATTCCGTAATTTTGGGATTTTTAACACGACTTTCAACCGAATTAACTGTAATTTGGTATTTTGGGTTCTCATTGTATAACTCATCTCCGTACTAAAAATGATTAATATTGACCCAATCTTCAGGTTAACCCCTATATGACAATACCCCCAATATTCCGTATTTTGGACACTTTTTTCAACCGAATCAAATGTATTTGGTTGTTGTTGTAGCCAGTGTTACCGCTACCAAAATTTATTAATAGTGCACCATGTTTCAATCAATTTCGATACAAGTTTTGTTATTTTGATAATTTATAGCATCATTTTCTTGCTTTTTTCAGTATATTCAAGGCCCTATCACAACATGAGTTTTTTCCAATTTTAGATATTTTAAATGTAAAACTCATGGTGGGAGAAATAAAAAGTACGGATCGGCCGAACTTAACATTGTTTTTACTTGTATACAAAAGTTATTGTAAATTATACATGTACCGGACCAAATACCCTAACATATGGTCTGTTCCCGTACTGCAAGAATCAACTACTTTTTACTACAATAACAAAATTTCTTTATGATATCGAAGAATATAGTAAAATCGAGTAGATTCTTGCAGTACGGGAACAGACCAATAGTCATAGTATTTTTTCAATTTTATGTCTAGTGAAAAACGAAAAAGAAATACTAAATTACATTTGTTATTTTTCCTAATATTTATTCTCCTTTATTACACATATAGCAAACGAAGACATGTTACGCATTACACCAGCCGATTATCTGCAATTCGCACGTAATGATGCCAAAGAATGTACATTGGAATTGACATGTATCAGTTCGAATCCCGTCACATATAAGGTAAGTTCCACAAAATTTTAAAAACATGCAGAAATTATTAACATTCCTCCCTATTTCAATGTAGATACAAACAACATCACCGGAAAAATTCCGTGTTCGTCCAAGATGTGGTATTTTATATCCTGGCAGCTCAATTACAGTGAATATTCTTTTAAAACCCGAGCATTCATTGTCGGACAATGGTAAAGATAAATTTTTAATTATGTGTATGCCATCAATGGACATTCAATCGAATCAAGTAACTGAGTTTTGGAAAAAAGTTGGTCAACAATCTGCCAACATGGAACAACATCGTTTGTATTGTACCTATAAAGATGGTGGAGAAAAATCGTCACAACTAGTCGGCAATGGTAATGTTGGCAGTGCCAATACAACAAAGGAAGACGCAGATTACAGAAGAGGAATGGTAAGGAGTTATTTAGTATTTAAGAATGCATTAAATATGGTACTCGAAAAAGTCAAATAATCGTATATTGAGATTTAAGATTATAAATAATTACGTAATAGCAAGAGCGTGTAGATTATATGTTTATGAACCCTCTTATTTTAAGTAATTTGATGATCCTAGGTGCATTTTCCAATCGACACTATATTTGACCATTTAAAACAAACAATATACTCAAAAAGCATGCAGAAATAATTACTTATATATTTTTATATTTTATTTTTTTCCAGAACCTTGAAGATACCCGTAAATTGGAAAAACAGCTGAGAAACACCCAAATTTTACAAATAATAACATTGGTCTTCCTCTTCATTTTGTTGGGTGCTGTAATTTATTTACTTAAATTACAAATGTGTGACGATGAAGGCTGTTCGACAAGTCGTATCAATCAAGCAGATTCTGTAGATTTCGCCACATGTGCCAAGGGCAAGGCAGATCTATAATATTTACTTTCGAAATGCAACTTGACCAAACAACGCCTTCTCAATGCCGCTGCAGCTGCCACCACAAAATGTCGCCACTTTAAAACATCTAAGATTCACACACTCATTAAGCACTGCAAATGTCCCGAAGGTTATGTGGCCACCGATGGATTTGGTGACGACAACCTAATGGATCCATATAATTTCAACGATGAATGTTCACAGAAAGGCGGTGTTCTAGGAGGCGGCTATTTGCTTGGTCTTGTCGCATTCGCACGTAAATTTGCCCGTTGTATATTGACGCTTACGATGCTCTTTGCCATTGTCTTTGTAACGTTTTATTTATGTTCAACATCGCGTGAAAATTCATCCATTGTCACAACAAATGCCCTGCTGCAAGTTACCGAGGCAGAGTATACCCTTACAACATACGATTGGAATTGAAACGCAAATTGAAGAAATGTGATTTGTAAGACAGGCAAAATTCATTAAGGAGAAGGGAGGAAGTGCAAATTAAATGGTGTTAAATGGTTATTAAAATTTAGTTATTATTATTTAAAATTATATTTATATTTCATTTTGCAAAAAAAAAAAAAAACACACAAAGCTAAAAGGCAAATCATTTACATTGTTGTCGTATTTAAAATATTAAAAATACAACATCTTAAAACTTAGATATGTTTACCAAGCCGCTGAGATGATAATTTTGAATAATTATTGAAATTGAAGACCAATATTTTTTCAACACCTATTGTTATGTACCTATATAACTGTGTAAATACTATTTAAATTATATATATATGTATGTGTATACTTTAAATAAACAAGCCAATTAAATTTATACAAATTTAATTAATGTTTTTGTAGTTGAACATTTTTAATATTTATAATAAATAGCAATATTCATAAACCACACACGTTTTATGAGAATTTCTTATAGCGGACTACGGATACAGCGAACTTTTTCATAACGAACTATTTATTCGGTCCCAACACACAGTTTTCATATATTTTAATATGCTATAAGGAACTAGCTACAAATATACATTGTATATATTGTGACAAACCTCACAAAAGATGGTTTTTACTCTAATGCAGGCAAAAAAAAAATGTTAGCTGTAATGTCAGGTTCAACAAAGAAAAAGAGAAACACCTTAATAATTGCCAAAAAAAACCTACCAGTTTCTAACTGAATATATATTTTTTCTGCTATGCCTATGTTTTGCCTTACCTTGGATATAACGAACTAATTTGATTGGTCCCTACTAGTAGTTCGCCTGTATTATAACAAATGCTTAGTTATTTTTTCATGGGCTTCGAAATTTACTAGCAAAATGTTAGATGTTTGTTCCCAAAATTACAACATTTATACAGCGTGCTATTTGTTTTATGAGTACTGTATTTATCGAGTTTCTAAATACCTCATTCATGGAAGTACATCGGAACTTCTTAATTACCTAATTTAAGTAAAACAATAGAATTTACAAATATTTTATTTTATTTCATCAAATCAAGAAAGTACACTAACGGTGTAGGTATAAAAATACATCTATATAAAGTAATCTTGTAAGAGGGCCAATATTGGAAAACAAGCCATAACCTTTTCTCTAAATGGATATTTTTTAATTTTATTCTTTGAATGCATTTTTGGGAAAGGAATTTTAGTTAAGCTTACGCTTTCAGACATTTTCCGTTTAATAAAAAGGGTAACAAGTCTAATTTAAAGTAAGTACAAAACAAAACAGATTATTTGGGGGAAAAAACAATAATCGTCAAACAGGCAAAAATATACTTGAATATGAAGGACAAGGATTTGGGGGACTTCATGCAATGTGAAAGTCATAGGAAAACAATATACAAATTTTAGTCCATATAAAAAATATAATTGTTTTTGTTTTATAAATGTAACGTGCTTCAGTTAATTGCATGCTTGGAAAGAAAATATTTTTTACTGTATATTCACAATCTGCAACAAGATTGTGATTAACAAGATTTTTTGTGGAGAAAATAACAGATATACAGGAGGTTTAAACTAGTTTAGGCCTAATGAAATTTATTTCTTCTTGCGCCCTTTTTTAGCTGGTGGTGGGGCCGATGTTGTTTTAGGCTCCTCTTTCTGGGCTTGTTCTGTGTTATTTGACTTTGCATCGTCTTCCTCTTTGCCGTTTTCTCCATTTGTTTTTGCCTTTTCTTCTTCAACTGGAGCTTCGTCTTTTTCTTCATTTTCTTTATTTGCTGCTTTAGACTTGGATGCAGCTGGAGTCTTCTTCGCTGGCTTTTCCTTGGGAGTTTCTTCGGAGGCCGGCTGGCTTTCATCTTGCACTAAAAATATACTATGTTGTCCACCGCTGGATGCTCTGATTATACGTTTTCCTTCGGTCTGTTTGCTTACAATTAGCACGGGCTCTAAAGCATCATCGTCCGACCCTGTGCCCAATTGATGATTGGAACCCATACCCCAGGAATACAGCTTGCCATCATCGGTTAAAGCAAATGATTGGGCTTCACCACAAGATACACTGACGATTTTCTTACCCTTCAATGCTGTAATGGGTTTGAGTTCTGTCACATCATCGGCCACCGTTCCCAATCCCAAACGTCCGTAATCTTTGCGACCAATAACAAAAACAGAACCATCCTCCTTCAGAATCAGAGTGTGATGTTGGCCACCAGCTATCTGCTTCACGTTTTCAATTTTCGTATTAATTGGATTAATGATGGTGGGCAAATCCTTGGCATTGGCAAGTAGTTGCTTGTAATTATTTAATCCAAATGCCCATATGATTCCACTTTGTGATTCACGCAAAAATGTACAGTAATTAGTAGCCCATATAGCTTCAATGGGCTTATTTTTGTTCTTTATCACAACCAAGCCTGGCTTTAGAAGCTCAGTTTTCCCTCTTCTACCTTCACCGGACGCAGATCGTAGCGACACTCTACCCAGTTGTCCTTGTTCAGCACATCCAACCGTATAAACCTTACCTTGGCAAGTCAAAATAACCAAATGATCAGCTCCGGAAGCGATGTCACAACAAGTCATATCTGGTAATACATTTATGGGCATCCTTTTGTTGCCTTCCAATGTCAAGCCCATATTACCATGTGAGTCACGAAATGAGCCCCAGGCAAAAACTCTGCCGTCTTCAAGCAAACAGGCCGAATGTGAATCGCCCGCTGAGATTTTCAATACTTTACCGGGCAAGTCCACGGGACGAGGTTCAAATTCGGAGCCCTCTTCACTGCTGTCGCGGCCGAGGGCGCCTTCATCATTGCAGCCGAAGGAAAAAACACGTCCGTCATGTGTCAATACCAAATTGTGCATGCCACCAGCTTTAACGTCCACAACATTGGCGATTTTCTCAAGTAACGCTGGTCGTTTACGTTCAAATTTGGAGTCGTCGTCGCCCAAGCCTAGCTGGCCCATATCACCTTGTCCACACACCAAGGCGCGACCTACAATGCGCGGTCTTTCTGGCAACGGTAGAGAGAATGCTGTACGCATTCTCTTGCCTTTGGGACCGGCGGAATCATCCTTGTTATTGTTATCAACATCTGTTGTGGGATCAGATTCGGCTTTTCTTCTCATGGCAACGCGTGGCATTATGAATCAGTATGTAAATGTGTCTAGCAAAAACTAAAAATATAATACATACACGTATGTATATAAGTACAAATAAAGAAATTGCATATTTTACTCGAACAGAGTAATACTCACGTTGTCAGATATCTAAAGTTTGGCACTTTGTACGTTGTTTTTATCTTCCTCACGCGGGTCTTGCTTCTATCAATATATTTCTCGGCTGCTTGTTCTCGTCGTCAAACGTGTGTTTGCCAAGACGTTAACTGTGTAACTGTTTGTCTGAAATTATTTCTCAAAATCGCTTTGCTTTCTTGAGAATTTCTCAAACAATTTCCAGTTGCCTGCCACAGTTATCCTTTTTGGGAGTCCTTAATTCTGCCTTTTTACCTGACAATGTGCGCGGGAAAACCAGTATTGATCTGATGCAAGCCGGCATACAAGAAATGTTGAAGTATTGGTGGGAGAAGCAGCTGCCAATTTGCCTTTTGCAATGGGTAGGGATGCCAATTTATTTAAAATAGAGACGTAACGTAGACGTTGTTGCATAGTCGTGAATTTAACGTTACGTAAATAAATAATCGCATAAATTATTATTTGGTATACCCGAGTTTAAGAAAGATACAGCATTTAATAAAGAAACATTTTTAATGTACTCAGTTTTTCTGCTGGTTAAATTTTTAAAACATAATTTGTCATATTGAAATCATTATTTATAAATTCAATATTTTTTTGTGCGAAAGTACGAAAAATTGCAAATGAACCTTGTTTCATTTTTAATAGCAAAAATGTTTATAACAATGTACTTTTCTATCCTAATAGTGGAGGTTATAAAAATGTATTTTCTGGACTTTATGTATTTTTTTTACAGAAATATATTGAGTGAAAAATAAAAAAAAAGTGTTATGTTGAAGAATCTGGAATGGAGATATATTTTCATTCCTCTATACTTCAATGCTCAATATAATAATAAAGGTGTATGTCTATTATATTCAAAATAAATAGGAATTGAATTGACAGGAATTGTCGAAAAATATTAATTCAATTGAATTTTTTAATTAAATTGAAGTTTTTATATTTGGTTTGTTCCCTACTTCAAGAATCTTCTATTTTTTATAATAAATTTATATTTAATTGTGAAATGTAGCTTACAGCCTTAAGGTGGAAAGGATTGGCAATATGAAATATAAAATAAATAAATAAATATATCAAGAATAATTGTTATTGTAGTAAACATTTGTACATTCTTATGGGTTATGGATCAGACATATTAAAAATAAAAGATAGATAAAATGTTTGGGTTTCGCCGGTGTACGTAAATATAATATGAATTTCCAATTATTCATGGAAACAAACACAAAAGTAACTTTAATATGTATGTATGTAAGCATAAATTGGGTTTCCGTGAAAATATGAAGCCAGGTAATAAACTATTATGGTGGCGGAATAGTCTGTTTGCTTAAATACATGGTAATTACATATGTTTCTGTGTATAGTGTATACCTTGGCAAGTACGTTTTTAACAAACTAATGTTATTCCCCATAATGTTGTAATAAAAATTATTCTCTAATCATGTTAATATGATCCTTGTAAGGTACCTGCCATAAGAAACGACTGATAAAAACTCTAGTAGATTGTTTCTTAATTTTGATATAATTTCCGATATGGACAGTGCCACTCATTCTCGGTTTCAAAAAATTGATTTTTTTTTATTAATTAGAACCTATAACTTCTTATGAATGTCTCCTAAAAATTCCAAGTGAAAATCTCAACTACTCGTGAATATATAGCCGATTTATTTTTTTAGCATCAAGAGATTCTCAAACTTTAAAAGTGGTTTTCTCAAAACAGTGTTTCTACGGATGGCGGACACGATAACTCAAAAACTAGAATAAATGTAATCTGTCAAGATCTTCCACATTTTCCAGCTTGACGTTTTGTCGAAAATATCGTATTTTCCAAAAAATAGGTCTGCTGTTTTGCAAATTATCGAGCGATGTCAATAATCCTAGCTCATACCAAAATAGTCAGTATGGAAAAAAGTCCGTCACTACAAGAAATATCTGCTCTGAAAAGGAATGTTCTGGTGTGATGCCAAACGTCCGAACCTTGACACGGTTGAATTTAATTCGTAAATGCAATTTCGCAACAATATTTGACATAAATATAACTTATCAAGTAAAGACATTTGTAAGCCACATTGCCCAATATGCCTGATGAGCCGCTTAACTAACGGCGAAACGCGTCGCATAGTGGTGGGAATGTAGTATCTCTCTGGCTTTCCTTTTCATTGCAACTCCGATCGTGTAGCTCATCTCGAAAGAGAAATTAATAAATAATTCACTACGTCTAAGAGAATGAATTAAAAAAAAAAAAACAATATTTTTGCAATTTATTTGTTTCCTTTTTATGTCTTCAAATACATGTATGTAAAGTTACAAGCCTTTAATATAGTGTACGCCCTGTCGTCAAATGAGTAGCTAACTACAAAAAAACCAATTTAAAGTTAGCTGGTATAGACTGGCTACAAAGCCACTACTATGCAATGCAAAATAAATGTATGAAAATATCGGCGATCGGCCACCAACGCCGTTCAATTTAAACGGCGTAAATTTTAATGTACGCCTTGGAAGTGTAATTTTGTAAACAACAAATCCCGCGTTTAGAGTCTAAACGCAACCATAGAGTCTAGAGTCAGCGACAGTCGTTTGCCGAGTGTTTCTTATAGGCAACGGGAAATCGCGACGTCTGACGTTCGCGTCTAGCGGCATGACGCTAGAATAGATTTTATTCATTTTTGCTCAGCGTCATACTCAAAATTTCTCTCTTGCTCTCAATTGAGTTGCCATATTTTAGTTAAAAATCAACAGTGCTACCAAATTTCAATGAGAATTTATATCAAAACATATGGCAGTACTGTTAAAAAAACAAATATTTTCAAAGATTGTGGATGTTTTTTAATGAATTATTAATAAAATGGAAGAAAAATATTTTTTTCAATAATTTTATCCAAATTCCTTGACATTATTGTTTATTAAATAATAAATTGATTTTGGTTTGCACAACGTAAAATTTTCTGTCAGAAAATGAAAACAAATAATTGACATTTTGTGCCGCTAACGCTAACTCTTTCGTTTGGTTTTCACGCCGGCGAAAAAGTATGACGCTGACTCGTGACTCTCTGGTTGCGTTTAGACTCTTAATTTGTCGATGAAAATCGTTTGTTTGTTTGTGAATAAAGTGTTGTGATTTTATCTAAAGTTTTACAGTGAGTTTTTAATTAAATGTAAGAAATAATGTGGTTAAATGTAATGTGGTTTGAACACACAATTTTTTTAAGAAAAAAAGAAACATGAGAAGTGCGAGTAAACGACATTTGGGGCGGAAAATAATCGTAACGAATATGTAAGTTTCCTAATAACATTTCTGATTTTGTTTATGTATCCATTAAATGATTTCTTTTTACTCCACAGATAAATACAATGAAAACAATATTGAGGGGACGTTTGCCCTCACAGGGATAATGGCAAATAAATTGTGAACGGACATTAATTTAGAGGGGATTCATGGAAAAGCGTTTGAATGACTTTCCTTATGTTCTAACAGGTAAATCCTCATTTGAATATATATATATATATATGATTTAAATCTAAAATCATATACATGTTCATAAAATGTTATCATTTAAACAGATGCCTGCCGATCCCTTGGCTCTGAGGATGTAGATGCGGATCTACGCAACGCCCTAAAAATAATCAAGAAGCGTTGCATCCACTCTAAGTGCATCCAAAACAAAATAGCTAAAACTAATAATTAATTTAATATTTTTAACAATTTTTTATTTAAAATACAAATGTGCAAACTAATTTTTTCCATTCTTAAGATTTTTAAAACCAAAAACTAATATTAATTTTATTTTTATTATTAAACCGCAAATGTTTAAATAATTTATAAAAATCTTTGTGATAAATGATGTGATCCTTGTTATGTTTTTTTTTATATTAATAAATTGTTGTTTTATAATAATGTAAATTTTTAAACCTCGTTTTATTTCAGCAAGATACAAATAGTGGCTTTTCACCTAACGTGCAAAAAACTAACTTTTCTCTGAATACAATTTGACTTACAAATAGTTAGTTTAAAAAAAAATTAACTAAAAGCGTATTTAAACAAGTAGATATATAGCTAACTGCAAAAAGTTAACTATAAGTTAACTGCTGGATAACTGACTATAAAGTTAACTGAAAGTAGTGCAAATTCGGACAATTGACTACTTCGTAGGACATCACAATGTAAAAATAGTCAGTTGGTTACAGGTAAAAAAGTCGATTTATCAACCACTACTAATTGAAAAAAAGTTAGTTTTCAATTAGTTTAAAGTTAGTTGAATGTACGACAGGGCGGTAACATAATCATCGGTCCCCTCCCACTTACTCATTGCATTTTTTTAATATTTATTGAAATAACAATTTTATTCTGAATACAATCGATGTATTATATACACATTGAAATGACTTAAATAATTTGTACAACAATCTTTAAAATTCAATGCTGAATGGCCAGTATTTATGATTTTGTGCCTTGATTAAATTAAATGGCACCAAACGTTCACCAGTATGGAATGTGTCCATAACGGCAATATCTTCTGGTGACAATTTGAAATCGAAAATATTGAAATTTTCTTCAATACGTTTGGGATTAGATGATTTCGGAATGGGAATAACACCAATATCAACCTAAAAAAATACCAAATTAAATGTTAAATATGTATATTTATAAATTAATTAATTACATTTTTGCCATACCAAATAACGCAAAATAATTTGTGCAGGCGTTTTGTTGTATTTATCAGCCAACGCCTTGGTTTTATCTGAATAGTAAAATTCTGGCTTCTTTTCATCAGGTTTGGGCCGACCAAGTGGTGAATAGGCGGTAAGCGTAATATCACGTTCCTTACAGAATTGCGTTAATTTACGTTGATTCAAGGCGGGCGAGCATTCCACTTGGTTGGTTACTGGTTTAA